AAATTCCTATCTCACAAAATTTGCACATTTCATCCACCCAACACAAGAAAAGTTAATACAAAAAAATCAAATAATTATGTACAGTTATGCACTCAATATGGCATGGAGGCAATCAGCCTGTGGCAATGCTGAGGTGTTATGGAGGCCCAGGATGCTTTCATGGCGGCCTGTAGCTCATCCAGGGTGGTGGGTCTTGCTTCTCTCAACTTTCTCTTCACAATATCCCACAGATTCTCTATGGGGTTCAGGTTAAGAGAGTTGGCTGGCCAATTGAGCACAGTGATACCATGGTCAATAAACCATTTACCAGTGGTTTTGGCACTGTGAGCAGGTGCCAGGTTGTGCTGAAAAATTAAATCTTCATCTTCATAAAGCTTTTCAGCAGATGGAAGCATGAAGTGCTGCAAATCTCCTGATAGCTAGCTGAATTGACCCTGCCCTTGATAAAATACAGTGGATCAACACCAGCAGCTGACATGGCCCCCTAGACCAACACTGACTATGGGTACTTGACACTGGACTTCTGGCATTTTGGCATTTCCTTTTCCCCAGTCTTCCTCCATACTCTGGCACCTTGATTTCCAAATGACATGCATCGGAATGCAGCACCTGTAGCCCATTTCCTGCACACGCCTGTGCACTGTGGCTCTGGATGTTTCTACTCCAGACTCAGTCCACTGCTTCTGCAGGTCCCCCAAGGTCTGGAATCTGCCCTTCCCACAATCTTCCTCACGGTCCGATCAGCTCTTCTCATTGTGCAGCGTTTTCTGCCAAACTTTTTCCTTTCGACAGACTTCCCACTGAGGTGCCTTGATACAGCACTCTGGGAACGGCCTATTCGTTCAGAAATATCTTTCTGTGTCATACCCTCTTGCTTGAGGGTGTCAATGATGGCCTTCTGGACAGCAGTCAGGTCGGCAGTCTTACCCATGATTGGAGTTTCAAGTGATGAACCAGGGTGGTAGTTTTAAAGGCCTCGGGAATCTTTTGCAGGTGTTTAGAGTTAATTTGTTGATTCAGATGATTAGGTGCATAGGTCCTTTAAAGACCTTTTTTATGATATGCTAATTGTGTGAGATAGGAATTTTGAGTTATGCCAATATCATCTGTTTTAAGACAATAAAAGACCTGAAATATTTCAGTTAGTTTGCAAGTTTGCAGTGAATCTAAAATATATGAAAACCTCACATCAAACACTAGTGAAAAGCTCTCACATAAACAGAAGTTCACCTTTTTAAGACACACCCCTTCCTTATTTGCATAATGATGCAGAAATGCATACAGAAATGTAAAAA